GAGTGCTGCTGGGTTGCTCCAGTAGCGTCGAGGAGCGGTGCTACTGGAGCAACCCAGCAGCACCCCAGCTGCTCTGCCCCAGGCATCCCCAAGTCAGCCGCTGCTGAAACTGACCAGGGGCTGACTACAGGAAACTGATCAGTTTCAGCAGCGGCTGACGCCAGTTCCGACTTACATACAGATTCAACTTAAGAACAAACCTACAGTCCCTATCTTGTACATAACCTGGGGACTGCCTGTATTTTCTATGAGCTTGCACTACAAAGAAGGAAAGTGATGGGCAGTACAAGAAGCACATTAAAGGAAGTTTTGAAACAAACAGTAATAAGTCACTGGGACCAGATAGCATTGCTCCAAACATTCTAAAACAACTCAAATGTGAAATTGAAGAATTACTAACTTTGATTTGTAACCTATTGTTTAAATCAGCTTCTGTGCCTAATGACTAGAGGGTAGCTAATGTGATGCCAATTTTTAAAAAGGGTTCTAGCCTGGTAATTACAGGCCAGTAAGTCTAACCTCAATACTGGAAAGATTGGTTTAAACTATAAGTAAGAACAGAATTGTCAGACATACAGATGAGCATAACTTGTTGGGGAAAAAGTCAACATGGTTTCCGCAGAAGGAAATCATGCCTCATTAATCTACTAGACTCCTTTGAGGTTAGAAGGGGGCTGTCAACAAGCAGGTAGACAAGACAGATCCAGTGGATATAGTATACTTAGCTCTTCAAAAAGCCTTTGGCAAGGTCCCTAACCAAAGGCTCTGAAGCAAAGTAAACTGTCAAGGGATAAGAGGGAAAGTCCTCTCATGCACAGATAACTAGTTAAATGATAGGAAACAAAGGGTAGGAATTAATGGTCAGTTTTCAGACTGGAGAGAAGTGGTGTCCCTCAGTGGTCCATACGAGGAACAATCCTATTGAACATATTCATAAATGATCTGGAGAAAAGGGTAAACAGTGAGGGTACATCTAAACTACATGGCTCCGTCAACGGAGCCATGTAGATTTGTTTGTTCGGCAAAGGGAAATGAAGCCGCGATTTAAATAATCGCGGCTTAATTTAAATTTAAATGGCTGCCGCGCTGAGCCGACAAACAGCTGATCAGCTGTTTGCCGGCTCAGCGCACTAGTCTGGACGCTCCTCTGCCGACATGAAAGCCCTT